TGGCATAGACAAAGTGCTCAATAACTGTTAGCTGCTGTTACCATAATTATTATTATTTCTGTTTTGCAGCTGAGGTAAATCAAACTCAAAGAAGCTAACTAATTTTCCCAGGTCACACATTTTAGACAGTTTAAGGGATAAATACATGTAATTGTTTTACTTAGCATATGTGCAAGTCTTGAAGGATACGGTATTAACCAGAAGACTAAATTAGGCAGACCAGCCCTCCTCTTCTTTGCCCATGCTAGACAAACATAAATTTATACCATTTAAAAGGACAGCATGTACTAAGGTAAAAATCATTTTCCATTATATGCCAGCATCCAGCATTCCCCTGAAGCAAAGATGACTAAAATTTATCCAATCTCATCTCCCCCTGAAGTTAAGTCCACAACTCAAACCTGCCTTCCATGAAACCTAACTGCTCAGGGCCATGTCCACTCATGCTGAGCTACATCTCTCACTTCACAACCCCCCTCTCTACAGTGTGCATCCTCCCTCTTCTTTCTCATCCTGAGTGTCCATCCTATCACAGTAACTCCTCCAGATCTTCAACTGGTATGTGCTCTGGACAGGAACAGGTTATCTGTGCCTGTAATTTGGGGAAAACAATGATGAATTCCTCCCAAAGTGCTCAGCCTGGGTAAGCAGGTGAGATTCCCAGAGCCAGCCCAATACCATACAGAATAAAACGAAACTTAAGGAAATCAGAGATGGTCAAGGGCTAAGGACACTGCTGCCAGAAGTTAGAAAAGAGAAGGAGGAAAGAGGAGGAGGAGATGGTAGTTCCTGAAAGGTTTAAACACCTAAGCTAGGTCTTAAAAGCAGAGGAGAATTTGAACATAAGAATATTGGAGGGAGAAGAAGGACTGGGCCAAGGGCTGGTGCAAGAGATGGATAGCCCTTCAGCTTGGCTGGACAGTCCTAGGCACACAGCAAGATCTGGTTATCTGGTGGTCTAGGTAGAGAGTCCTACTGAGCATCACTGTATGTCCTGAACAGCTAAATACACAATCTTTTAACTCACTCAGTCCACATCACGACTCCTTGAGGTAGGGACTAATCCCTGTTTTATAGAAAACACCAAGATATAGAAAGCAAAAGCCAGTTGACCACAAGTTATAAAGCTAGTGAAGAAAAGCTAGAATATGAAACCTGGCCCCAAAGTCTGTGCTCTACACTATCCAACCTAACTGCTTTGCAGGACAGCTTGGAGATGAAGGATGTAGGTTCCAGGGTGTTATTCAGATTCAGGAAGTGCTTGCCAGCAGTTTGCAAATCTGTAACTCAAGGCTACAAATGCTAGCTATAGTTCACCACTGATGTCTACAATGGACCTGCTAGCAGCTAAAGCAGAAAGGCAGGGCAGGACTAGAGAAAGGACCCCCAGTCTGAAACAGAGGCCTACCTACAGTAGGTATAGAAAGAGAACTTTTTTAAAAAGGCAACATGATCCAAAGGCAGAGGGAGGAGCAGACTTCCAGAAGGAGAAAGACAGGTGAGATAAAGTCTGCAAGGAGACCAAAGTAGAAACATTTAGGAGGAACTTAAGACATAAGATTTTTGGAGGAAACTTTGAGAAGAAATGGAGAGAGGGGTGGTAAGGAGAGAAATCAAATGGCAAGTGCTAAGGATGGAGTAGGAGATGAGAGAGCTAAGGAGGCAAATGATCCTCATTTGAGGAAAAGAAGGAGACTCAGGACTATCAAGTGTGAACGCATAAGTTGTCTGGCACACAGCAGGTTTGTTTCTTCCTCTTCTGTCCTTCCTCTCCTAAATCAAGACAAATGCTTTTCTGGGGTTGGTAGACAAATAGCACCAATGATATTCTAGTGACAAGACCCTGGCAGAAGTGGGAGGGAGTGGCATTTGGCACTTCAGAAAGGCTTCTGCTCCTGTGTGCTAAACATTTTACAGGCATCATCTCCCTTCATCTTCACAGACTCCAAGAGGCAGGCACTGACATCATACCACAGAAGATGAGCCTGAGGTCAGAGGAGTCAAGCACTTGTCCAAAACCACACAACCCAAACCCAAGTCCCAGATCCTTCTGCACAAAAGCCCAGGCTCTTGCCCACTGTAAGAGCTCATAAGAGGAAATAGAGGAGGGATACACCTGCTTTCTCTGAACTGGGAAGAGAGGAGAGGACAATTTGGAAAGAGACAGGATATTTTGACAGGAAAGAAGAGATACTGAAAGAGCTTAAGTCAAAGCAGGTGTCATTTCATGAGAAAGGGAACAGAAAAAAGACAAAATGGGTATGTGGGGTAAGTCTGAGCCTCATGATGAAGAAACATAGGGAGAGAAAAGAGTGGAGAAGGCTGGCATGCTTGTGTCTCTACATTTCTAACAAACCTCGAGGTCTAGGAGGACTTTTTATTTCCCTGCAAGTACTTGCTTTAGTTAGTATGGTACTAATTGAAATCGCTGCCAGCAAATGTAACATTGCAAGGGGCAGAAACTCTTTAATGTTGAGCTTCTCCTACACAGTAAGAGTCGATGGAATCAGAAAAAAGCTCATAGACGGAAGACAACCCATACACCAAAGTCAGAAACAAAATATTTAGTTTTTTACAGATTCATATACAGTTTTGCTAATGTAGCCAAGTCTTTCTGCAGAGCTTGTCCATCTTTTAGTATAAAATTTCATTGAGACTGTTGGCATGAAGGGATAAATCTGAAAACTCTGCCACTTCCTTTTCCTGCCCTGTGGCAAGCAAGCCTCTTTTGCAAGTAGCAAACTCATTAGTACTCATCATTTTATAAATCATTTGAAATGGGTTCTTTAAAACACCATCTGTTGATCTGCTTAACTTTCCTATGAAAATAGGACTTCTGCTCAGATGTTCTTGAGGTTCCAGGAGGTAAATACCAACCTGAATTCAAATGTTTTAAATATTTAGAGACGTTGAGAACTTTAGAGCAGCAGAAATCTTTGCTATTACCTAGTTCCACTGTCTTACTTTCCATGTGAGGCAAAGAGAACCCAGTAAAGGATAAATAACTTGCTCTAACTGCACAGCAATGAGAGCCCCGTCAGAGCTAGAACCAGATGTCCATCTCCTTCCTACCTCCCAAGTTAATGCCCATCAACCACAGCCGCTCCTTTCTAAACAGGAGATGCACAAGGTACAAATTTAACATTATTATTATTATTCACCGACTACATCTACAGTCGGAATCAAATACCTCTACAGAACTACAGATGATACAATTTCAAATCCTGTGTAGGAAATTTCCAAACCTTCTAAATATGTGCAACAAACTGTTTTAAAGATTTATCAATAAACTGAATTGAGTAAAAAAGCAGGAGTTGAAAGATTAAATTTTGTATTTAAAAAATATTTTGGAATTTCATTGATATGGAAATCAAATTTAACAGCAGGAATTTTTTGTTTAAGTCTTGCAAGCACGGAGAGCTCGAGATTATTCAAGTATTCAGGAGCAGAACGATTATTTTAAGCTCATGATTCAACGGGTACATTAATTAAAAACTCCACCAACCCAAATTGACAAATCCTGATATCAATGGGACCAGAAGAATAAAAATAATAGTTACATAAAAATAGCGGAAGGGGGGGATACGGCAGCAGATGTCAGAAGGACAAATAACAAGTTAGTGTTGTGGGAATGAGTTGCATTTAAATAGGCAGCTTTTATGGATTTTAAAAAATAAAAATAAAAAACAAAACCCGAAGATCTTGGAAATACGTGTACTGTCAAACAATGGCTCTTCATAAACACCGAGTGAGAAAAATTGGCTAATAATTCAGAGTAGCGATCTAAAACGGAGATGACTACAAGCTCCAAAGTGCCAAAACAAGACGAGGTGCCGGCAAAGGGACCCGAGCGAGCGAGGAGGGAGAGGGGGAAAACTATAGATGAGGAGCGAGGGTGTCGGAGAGCCCGCCGGCCCGCACGAGCTTGACAGCAGAGCGAATGTCCAGCGCAGGCTTCCTGCCCCGCGCGGGCCGTCCTGGACCTGAGCGCCTGGCTCTCGGGGGATGCCTGCCCGCGCCCCGGGAGGCCTGCGTTAATTCTACCTTCCACGTCTCGTAGCAAACCCGAGCTCGCTCAGCTGTCAACGCCCGGCGATCGCAAGCGAAAACCTTATTCATCCCCGATAGCGGTCAAACCCGGAGCAGAAGGCAGCCTCGCGGCGCCCTCCGCGGAGCTCCAGGACGCCAGGGCCCGCAGCGGCACCGCACCTGGACGCCGGGCACCTGCTCGAAGATCCACGGGGGATCCTCGCCAGCCACCCCGGACCCACACGGCGCAGGCACGACGAAAGTTCGTCGGCTGGGATCGGGCCCATGCGGGGCGGGGGATTCCCGGGTGCAGCGACGTCCAAGCGACCGGGCAGAGGAGGCGGGCGGGCTCGGACTCTCCAACCCGACGGAGACGCCCTCCCCGCCCCCACCCAGCCTCGCGGGCTCCCGAAAGGGAAGTGGAAAAGGGGAGGAAGGCCAGACGCGGCATCGTTCTCCGCAACGCCTTTGGGGGACAGCGCCAAAGATGGTCCCCTCGGGGGGTCGCCGCGGCTCCCAGGGATACATCCTAGGACTCGCCCTCAGCTGGGTCATTGCTCCCGAAGGGTACAGCTATCCCTTTAAGAGGCGGCGGGCTGCTCCCTCCCCCACCCCCTCCAGGTAGCGATGCCCGGGGAGGAAAGGTGGGTACTCCCGGGGACACTTTCTTGATGCTTTTCAGGGTGCCTGCGGTGCCTCTGCTCTCCCTGGCCCGCAGTGCCGGCCCCACAGAGGAGGATGGGGGAGGGCAGGCGCGGCGCCTTTAAGGGGCGCAGCCTCCCCGCGGCCCGGGTGGGGGCAGGGAGAAGGCACGGGCCCTTTAAGGCCGGCAGCGGGCACGTCGGGCAGGGTTCCCCGGCGGCCGGGCTGCGCCCCGGGCGGCAGCGGGGGCGCGGAGCCTGCCAGAGTGCTTGCGGCACCCGACGGGGTGCTCGGGCCGCGACGCTGGCCGCAGCTGGGCAGACACTCACCGTGGCTCGCCGGGAGCGCCCGCACCCGCGCCCGCACTCGGATCCCGCGGCGGCGGCGGCGGTGAGTCCGGCGCGGGTAAACAGGCACCTCCGTCCCTGACCTACTTTCTGCCTTCCCTAAATGTCGCACCACTAACCTACTTTCCGACCAATCCGCTCCCCGCCGGCCCAGGCCCGGCCCCCCGCCCACCAATCGCTGTGCCCAACCCCCCTTCCCCGCCCACCAATGGAGGAGCCGCGGAGCCCGGATACCTGCCTTTTCCCGCCAGCCAATCCGAGTGCGCGAAGGGAGCCGGTCTCGGCGGCCGTCCTCGGCCAATCCAAGCGCTGCTCAGCGGCCCGTAGGCCAATCGAGTAGCACCTACAGAGGTCACTGGCCAATGGTAAGGCGACAATGGCTGGTTAACCTGCTACTTTCCCGCCACCAATCACTTGGCTCACAGGAGCGCACGCCCCGAGGAGAGAACCAATCCGCGCTCTCGCTCTGGATTTCCTCGCCCCTGCCCTCTCCATTTCCCCTCAGGTCTCCCGCTAGCCGCGGCCGCTGCGATTGCAGAAGCTGCACTCTCCCGGTCGCCCAGGATGTCCTTCTTCTCTGAGTTCCCTGGCTGGCATCTCTCTCCCGGCTCTTACCCCTCCTTCTTCCCCTTCCTTCGCTCCGGGCACCCTGCCTACACACTGCTTTTCCTCACTCCCTTCCCTCCAACTCCATCTAGGAAACCAAATTTTAGGGGCATAGTGCCGAACCCTTCTTGAAGCACCTGGTTTGCCAAAATCCGAACGAGAGACCGAATGCTTAATTTTTAGGAAGCTTTTCTACCCTGCAGACTGCAAGTGATCTCGCGTTCTTTTCGTTAGTCTTGGCCTCCAAGCGTCCCAGGGCGCTATCATTCTCGTTGTTCAAGAGAGAAATCGTAAGCGCCGAGCGGTTCCTTCGCATTTGCTTCCTTCCTCCTCCCGTGTAGCAGACACGGTCCTCGCTGCTGAGGTCTCGACTGCACAAGCTGACCAGGGAGCCGGACAGAGTTACAGGAATATAAATTTCCTATCAACATACGACTTGGGTTCTGAGAGCGCGGAGAAAGTCTTATTTTTGCATCTCAAGCACTTAGCCCCTAGCACAAAGAATTCCCAGTCCTTCTAAACAAAACTCTGGAAACAAGAAGGGCGGCTTCTTTTTTTTTTTTTTAATTATGCCCCGTTTCCCTAATGGGTAGGGTGGGGGGAAAGGGGCCTGACACCTTGCTAGTGCTCCATAAATATTAGCTAAATACTCGAGCAAATAGAATTAAATCACTTGACCATAATTCTGTGACCCAGACTAGCTCCTGGGAGTCTAGAATTCTAGTCTTGTAAGTTCCTAGAACATAGACACTGTTTTAATCAGCTCACTGTCAGGTATACAGTTTGTACAATGAGAGCTGGTGAATTGAATTCGGACTATTTTCAAGGTCAACTAACTTCATGGGTAACTTTCTTGTTTTCCTAGGTTTACACGCAGGTGTAATCTGACTGCTCTCTCTGCCTCATTTTGTGAGGAGGCCACTCTGCAAGTGGGACTAGCAAAGCATTTGAAAAGATATTGTGGACGAAATGAAAAATACGGGCTGGCTGCTAGTATAATTAACTGGATGAGTAACTAGCTAACTAACCATAACTTAAAGATGCTGATTAATGAGTCCTTGTTGACTGGAAGGAAGGATGTAGGGAACCACCCATCCAGCAGCATCTGCTGTGTGCCAGGCACTGTGTTAAGAGCTTCCCTTGCATTTTCTCCCTTAATCCTCAAAACCAACCTGTAAAGAAGCAATTATTATGCCATTTTACAGATAAAGAAACTGAAACTTAGAATTTAGCTGGTCACGGGTCACACGGTAGTTAAGAGTCATGATTCCAACTAAAAAAAATATTTTTAATTCCAAAGGCTCCATATCACACCAGTTACAATGATGACAGGATGACAGAAGACTCTCTCCCATGCCCAGACCCCAAGACTGTTACCAGTATCCTGAATGAAAACTCAGGAGACTGGTGTCACATTTCCAGATGACCCAAAGCTGAGGGGTGGGGGTGGGGGAAGAGATGCTATTACATAGTATCAGCCAAATCCAATATGGAGCTGCCTCTATCAGGGGGAATCCCACCTTGGAAAAACAACTGCACATAGCTAGGCTATGTGGTGTCCTGGATACATGTAAGAGCAAGGTCTTGAGTGACATCTCAGTCTTACTCCACAGTGAATTGTGGCCAACATCAACAGACATGAATTCGTCAATAGAAGTCTGTTACACAGCAAGATGTGTGTTATTTTGCTGCTTGGGCTGGTCAGTACCCATGTGAGTATTGTCTGCAATTAAGACTTGGCAAAGAGAATTATCTACACGCACAAGAAGAGGGATCAGGATAAAGAGACTAGAAGCTATGTCATATGAGGAAAGATTAAAGGAAGCAGAAGGTTTTGCCCCAGGGGGTACAAGGTAACTGTCTTCATATATTTGAAGAGCTGTCAAATAGAAGAGAAATTAGACTTACTCTTCAGGGCCGTAAGAGTTAGAAGAGGGACCCATGGGTAGAAACTCTAGAATAAATCAATAGGGAGAATTTTCTAACAATTAGAGCCTCCTCTGCCTTCTTGTTTCCTGTCAGAGTATATATCCCTGCAAGAATTAGATGACCATGTGGGGGAGAGATGCCTGGGAGAGGTGTCTTTTAGGACTCTGCTTCTCTGAGGGAAGGTAATTCTTAAACTTCGGTTTTCTTCTTTTAAGTATCTCCCTACCTTTCCTACCATCAGTGGTCAGGAAACAGTCTCTCTTCATGTACACCTGTTCATCTACAATATGCAATTATACTTTTCTTAGTGTTTCTCTCTGTTGGAGATCCCAAACACTTTCATATTCTCCTAGTAACTTCCCTTTTATTTTCTACCATCCAGAATACTGAATTGTCAATTCTTTGGGCACTCCTAAAGCCAAATCTCAAAGTCACTGGGCATGAATAGAATCATATAAATATAAGGATGAGAAAAAATAATATTTAAGTGAGCATATATGTGTAGCAGGTGCTTTAAATACATTTAATATAATACTCCCATTAATTCCAACAGTTCATATGTTTGGTCTCCATACTTGGTATCTGGACCACATTATACCCTCTTTGTACCTTAGTTTCCTCGTCTGTAGAATGGGGATAATCTGATATCTACTTCAGAAGATTGTTGTGAGAGTTAAATGAGATCATAGATGGAACACCTTTAGTATAGTGATTGACATATAGCAGAGGGTCAACATATATTAGGTATCAGTCTTAAAAATTCTCTGAAATAAGTACCTACTGCTCCCATCTTATCAGTGAAATTAGGATAAATAGTATGATAATGGCATCTGATGCAGTGACTGAAACCATTAGAATTACCAGAGAAGCTTTAAAAAAGAACAGAATACTGAGCTCCTATCTGGAAGGTTCTGATTCAGTATCTTTGGGATCTGAAATGCAATTGACTTTAGGAACTGCTGGTGTAAGGAAGAAGCCCAGGCTCTGAAACTAAGCATTCAAACTCAAATGCTAAATCTGCTGGATTGAATGGAATAACCCATGGCAGGACCCAGTAGTTATGGAGTCATGCTCTCTTTGGATGGATGTTGGGAGTCCATAGATGGACATGTTTACAATTTTTGTGGGAAACCAAGTTTTGTGGAAAAGTGTATTGCTATAAATAACAACAACAAGAAGAAGAATATTTACTGCAGCTTTACAATACATCAAGTGCTGTTCTAAGAGCTTTATCTGTATTGCCTCACCTCAGTCAATTTTCCTAGCCCCTCCAATCCACAAGGCAAGAACTTCTATTATTCCCTTTTTTTTTTTTTCAGTACTGGGGCTTGAACTCAGGGCCTTCACCTTAAGTCACTCCACTAGCCCTGTTTTTTTTGTGTGTGAAGGGTTTTTTGAGATAGGGTCTTGTAAACTATTTGCCTGGGTTGGCTTTGAACAGCGATCCTCCTGATTTCTGCCTCCTGAGTAGCTAGGATTACAGGCGTGAGCTACCAGCACTGGGCTTATTATTCCTATTTTACAGTTGCACAGAGAGGTCCTGAGAGACCAGCTTCCTTAGACAATCTAATCCCAAAGTTTACACTGTTAACTACATTGCTAAATTGCCTCTATACTATTCCTTTGGGAAAACAAAGAAACTTGATATTTTACAGATACTGAATAGATTAAGGAGCCATCAATTTACAAGTGGTTATTTAAAAAATAAACTCTCCAATGAGTGGGGTTTTATGTAGAGAAAAGGAGAATGACCAAAATGAGGTCTCAGGGGTAAGGTATCATCCCACACTTAGGAGATGCAAGAAAAAGAAATTCTTCAGCTAAATGAAACTAAAAGGGGGAGGCTTATAGGCAGGAGAGAATGGTTTCTCATGGAACTAACTCTACAGTAAGAAGTCTAGCAAGACCTCCAAAAGGTCTCAGTTTCTCTCTCTACCTATCTGTCTTATGCTCTCTCTCTCTGTAACTCATCACCTCCACCTCACTGTACCTGGTCCTTCATGAATGTCTTCAGCCAGAAAGAGAGAGAACAGGAAAGGCTCATACAGTTCTGCAAGTAGTTCTCTCTCTCAGCGTGGGCTGAGCCAAGCTCCCCAATGTGCCAAAGGAAGTGAAAGAAGAATCAGAACAGGAAAAAGTAGGGATGACAGCAAAAGAAGGAGGAGCAAAAAAGTGAAAAGGCCAAGTATGGAAAGTTTCGGAAGGAAGTCTCAACAGATAGAGTTAAAGCAAGATAAAGGAAAGCTGTACTTGACCAAAAAAGGTTTTGGTAAGAAGAAACAAAGAGATTTGACTGAAAGTATTTTACTAAAAGTGCTTCTGGTGCCACATCTACCACAGGATATTGGGGAAATCAGAGCAGAAATGCTGAAGAAAACATGGTGGCCAGAGTAGAAGTCACTTTTTGAAGATAATTGTTAGTTAAGGGGAAATTAGTAAACAAGTAGCTATCTCTTAGGAGCTGACCTGTTTGAAAGTGGTTTGTGTGTATGTGTATGAATGGTTTGCTTTTTAAAACTAAAGTTGACATCTAGGGAAACAAAATGAAAAAAAATTTTAAAGCAGGC